AAGCCAGTATACTCGCGTTGCGCTCATCGCGTGTAGAGATGAAGCTGGAGGAGACCAAGCCGCGGAAGAAGCCCTTTATGAATAGAAACCCTATTTATGATTGGGTAGACCTCAACACGCTCAGCGGCCGCCCGGAAAAGCTGTCGCCCCCCTCCGGCATCGCAAGTAGAGGTGTGCTCCTGTGAGGAACTGATCTGACATGAAGTGGCGTCAACGAACCTCTGCTGTAGAAAGACACAAACAAGACCTTATTCGTGTGGAGCGCATCAATACATCCTGCTTTCCTCCGCGGTGTACCACTCGAGTCAGACTCGGTGCAGCAAACTTGAGCTGCTGTACCGCTCGCTCCGCAACGTGACACGAAAACGGCGCAGGAGCGACACTCAAGATGCACCTGCCCCATTGAGGCGCTGAGTCAGCCGTGCGATCATAGCATCCAATCTTCAAGACACCTGCGACGAAATCCTCCTTCTTCATCCATACCCATCAGCATGGCAATTATTCTGCGGGAGGTCTCCGACACCGACATCGCGCGAGGCTGCGAGATCGAGTCTCTACCTAGGTAGCTTTCAAAGATAACCCTCTCGGCCCCATCCTAAACCCAGGTCCGTTCCCTCCGGGAGCATCGCAACAAAGAATTCAGCAGATCATCGACATGAGGAAGAACGGCTCTACTGTCTATTTGATCCAGGTTTTCGACGAAGAGACTGCTCAAATGGTAGCATGGGCGAAATGGCACATCTTCGAAACTGCCTAGGCAGCACTCGCTTCGTTTCAACCTCTGCGCCTTGGTCCTGAAATGAATGCGGAAGCTTGCAACGTCTTCTTTGGGGGAATGTTAGATCGGAGGAAAGCAATAATGGGAGAGAAGCCGTATCTCTGTAGGTTTGCGCGTTACGCACGTCGCGACGTAAACCCAAACCGCCTCTATATTAATAAATCTCAGACCTTCAATTGCTATGTACACATCCACAGTTCCAGGGCAGAGGTGCAGAAAGTCTCCTCATAGATTGGGGAAAGCAGCGTGCTAAAGATCTTGGTCTTCCGATCTATCTGGCGTCCACTCCCGTCGGCCATCGCTTTTACCAGAAACATGGTTTCGAAGACGTCGAGATCTTGCGTCTGGATTTCACCAGCTTTAATGGGCCTGTTCATAAACAGCCGCTGATGGTGTGGGAACCGTCAGGGTTGTGAGCAAGCTATTGCGAATAGCATAAGTCGCACCATACGCGCCCTACTGACTTGTAAGATCTAACGCATTCTCAAAATTGCACATTTATCTGTCAAGATGTCGTCGTGCTCTTCATACTGGCTGCGTTTCCTAAGTCGCACATGTACCCGCGCAGCAGCTTGTTTGTTGTGTCACCATTGATGTTCGAGTCGAAAGTCACGCATCTGAGCCCCTCCGGCGTTCTTGATGCTGTTTCCGATGATACCCTTTGCGCTACGATCTACCTTTGCAAATCCATGGCTATGTTACAAGCAACAGGATCAGCGAACATCATTCTAGCATTCTGACACTGTTCCCTCCAACCTTTCAGCCGTATTGTCGATGGTACCAACGAAGGTCACATGTCGTAGCTATTGCGCGGACGGCATTCTTCCGACCACGCCACCTTGGCGAAGGACCATATTTTGCCGGAATTTAGATCAAGGGGCAATCTCGTTGACGCGCTCGCATGTCCCATGCTTCTTCCTCCCCTCTCAACACATAATTCTGTCCGAACACTACTAGCCAGACCCTGCGAGTTCGGGATGTATTCACCAGTCACTCCCGGCGAGAGAACCTTCGATCCAGGCCAGGCAGTATCGCAAGCCTACCACGACGCAGCTGATGCGAGCAGAAAATCTGCTAATACATCGCCTTTGCAAAGGATAGCCAAGGAAAACGATGTTAGCCTAAGGACAGACGCTTTAGACCGTCTGAGATGGAACGTCCTCGCCTCACCATCGACAGTCGAAGTCGTCGACCTCAACGAAGTTAGCGAGCTCAACGAAGCAAACGAGCTCAACGAAGCAAACGAGCTATGCTGGGTACTCCTGTTAGCAGACCCCAAGCATCCTCTAGCCGAAGACCCAGTAACCTCACCACCAACTTCCCGCATCCATATCATGCTAGCCATGATCGATCACTGGGAATGCTTGGGCATGATCGATGAGAGTCCACCACCTTTACTCATTCATAACACAGACAGACGAGCTATCACTGTTGAGCAATTTGTCACAAAAGTTTCAGCATACGCGAAAAGCTTGCGAGATTTGATTGACGAGATTGAGAATGTGAGTTCGGCGGCGGACCAGGAGAGCCGTTGTCTTTACTATGATTCAGCTGATGGATTGGAGAGCCTGGAAAGTGGTGGCATGGAAGATGTCTTTCCTCTTCACTTCATGTCTAGCCGATCAAATTCAGCGGAAGAGTTCAGGAAAGAATGGATGAAAAGAGAAAGGCTGTTCAAAGAACATATGTCTTGCAACCCTACGAATGGAATCCACATCGCGCCAGGGTCGATAGATTTCGCCGAGGCAAGTAGGAACTTCCGCCTCATTCCTGAAGATGTTCCTCATGAGGAGGAGAGCCTCTTGCACACGAGTGCTCTAGACCGCCTACGATGGAACCTACTCGCCCCACCATCTACCGTTCTAATCATCGACTCTAATGAAGAGGGCGAGCCGAGCTGGCGACCAATGCTGGTGGATCCAAAACACCCCCTAGCTGATGAAGCTGTTACCGAAGTACCGCGTTCACGAATGTGTGTAGCATTCGACATGGTCGAAGCTTGGGAGTGCTGGGAGAGGTACGATGACAATCCACCCCCACCGCCTCTGCTCATCGAGAATTCCGATGGGAAAGCCATCACTATCGAGCAGTTCATCGTCAAGGTCTCCCAATACGCTCAGAGCTTGCGGGAGACGATTTTCGAATGTGAGGGTCGCGCTCTGTCGGGGTCCGAGGGCGCGTGTCTTTGGTTCGATGCGGCATTTGGACCGAAACGGAAGGATGCCGAAGATCCAGATATCTTGTTTCTCGTCGGATTCACGTCCAATATCTGGTACTCAAGCAGCCAGATTGAAGTGGACCATGTTCAGAAGGAGAAGAAATTTATCGAATCGCTTGAGGTAGAGCGGGCTGAACGCTCCATACTTAGCACGAATGGTTGCAAAGTAGCGAAAAAGCCTTCCGCGATTGTTGCTCTTCCGACGGATGGTGTGCAAGATCCAAGAGCCATTGTACCGCAGAGTGTCAAATTACGTCCCACACTCCATCCGGTTGACCAATATGACGAATAGTCACTATCGAAGCGGAATGATCCGAAGGGCGCTTATGATGTTTTGCTACTGGAATGGCAAGGTGGATGTGCTGAGAGAATTGGTCGGCCAGATTCAGATCGGCGTTTGGAAGTCACTGGGGCCGGTGCGAAGACAGATCTTCAATCGCTAGACAGTCGGTATGCGTTATCAGAGCACTAGGTATGCATTGGGAACGCTTTAGCAGTAAACAGTGTGGATAGATCAGGTCGAGCGTGACGTGGAAGAATAGTACGACACTCACCGCAAAGATGAACACACCGCAAAGATGTACTCACCGGAAACATTTCCAGGTAGCCTTCGCTTACAGTCCTTTTCCCCACGACGCGCGCGACCGAACAATCGTCGGAAGATAGCATCCGTTTGGTGGCGTCCAGTGAGCGAGCGTAGAACTTTGCTTCTTTTCAACGGAGAACAGAGTGCGCCTTGGATTTTGTTTACATATTTGTTGAAGTCCCGAAATAGTGCATCTTGTTAGAGGAGTGTCATCTATCTGCCAAGACATCTTTCATTCACTAGTCACCCTTGTGTTTGACATCTCAATATGGGAATTTGCGGCCCCACGAATTTCCCATATCTGATCGACACCCAGAGGTAGCCGAAAGTCGATTAGCCAGTCGTGCAGGGGTAGAGGCTAATCTAGAAGGAGCACGTCTACATCAGATGGCTCTGGTGGACAATGCCATCTGTTGTAGATTTAATTGCGATGCTCGTCAATAGCTCCCAGATGTGTCCAAATCTCAATAGAACGTCGTGCCAGAGCTATACAAAGTTCATCTGGCAACCGTGAAAACATGCGCTTGTACTGGATGACTTTTGCTTCTTTCAGGCGGTCGGGGAGGCGCCAAGGCGATGGGGATGCTGTCGGTGAGGCTGGTCGACGAGGCTGTCGTTTCGCTGAGTTCCTCCCGTGCCACTCGGGAAACTTCAGAGATTGCTTCTTTCGGGCGGTCGATGAGATTGACGCTGCTTACCTAGGTAGGTAGGTACGTCCACGGGTGGTGTACCCAGGTGGAAAGGCAATTCCTCATCGAGCTTAGCGTAGACGTCGAGTGGCATGCGGGAGGCGGCAACAACGGCTGCACCCCACCGTGACATCTACCCCCACCACACCACCCCAGGGTAGATCCGCTACTTACATCAGCGACTAACACAGATAGCTCCAGAATGCAGCAGATTGACCGCTCTCTGATTGCGGATTATCACCATATCCGCTGTAGTTCTTTTCCCTGATGAGGCTAGAGGGGCCAATGCACCCTTAGGAGAATCAGGTACCGAATGTGCGAAACATCGAAGCACGGTTCGCTCCAGTGTGTCGTACCTCACCCTACTACCCCAACGCTTCTGACACTATGCAAAAGACAAAGTGGTCTCGTGAAAGGTTGCGCTTGGCACTCAACATGCTCTCAGCAACTGTCGGTCTGGCATTCTTGCACGTTCCATCGGACGATCTCCTGTGTCCTCACCGGACTGTATGAGACCAGCGCGAAAAAGAAGCAAGAAAGAAGACCTCAGAGCAGAAGAGACACGATGTTCAGCACGTCGAAGATGTGTATATAAGACCTCACATCCTCGACTCCAAGTCTAATCATCAGCTCATCACGACAATCACTACAACAAGCATCTTCACTTCCACAACACCACTCACTCTTACAACTTCCAATCGTTCTTTCGATCCCAACAACAACTTCAACATGCAGTTCTTCATCACCATCCTCTCCCTGGCTGTCGCCGTCTCCGCTGTTCCCCAAGGCAACGGCAACGGAAACGTTGTCTGCAAGGGCGGAAACGAGAAGGCAGTCTGCTGCGCTGCCAAGGATACGCTCGTCGGCGCCCTTGAGTGCGTCACTCTTCCTATCAGCGTCCAACAGCCTGGCTGCGATGGTAGCATCCGCTGCTGTGACACCGACGCCCCGGCGGTAAGTCATCCCCTTTCACGCTCGCCTCCATCAACTCATACTAATCTGCAACACCAATAGGGCACTATCGTCAACATCCAGGCTCTCAACTGCGCCAGCGTCGCATAAACGATCCGCTTACACATTTCGAGGCATGGAACCATTTTTCAGGGGACGGGGATGGAAGCTACAGGAGGACTGTTCGCAGGGGCTTCTTTGGATTTCTACTTTGCTCATTCTGGGTCTTCCGATGATTTCTTCTCTTTCTTTGGAGGACCGCTTTATGAAGTGGTGTCTCAACTCTTGGGCGTTCAATTTTAGACACAGGCTAGATGTTTTGGTGATTAGTAGAAAATGCGATTCATGATCAAACCACAAATCTGTTCCACTGCTCAAGAGCTCGATGCCTCATTCACAAGTATACACAGCTAATGATGGCTGGTCAATAGACATCGAACCAACCTTGAGGATTGAGGAGATGCCTAACTCAATGTCAACGATGAGGCAGTGCAGCAGAAGTCCTTTTTGAAACGGTGTTTGCGCCATACAATGCTGGCAAAGATGACAGCGTGCAAGGTTACACAAACCCCGCACTTCACTGTTGCGGCGCGGCAAGCGCTTATCTATCACTGACGCGACATCTGCTGCTGTACATATACACTCACCCGCCGAAATGTCACGAAGTAGTCAAAGGTTAAGGCATCTACAGAAAAGACATCTAAATAGCATTCTGGCAAAGAAAAATTGCCACTCAATCAGGAGGTAAGGCTGAATTACTACCTGAACAAGCAGCACAGCAGTCGGAGTAACAAGACCGCAGCAGTCCCGCGATCCCAACAAGCCTTCAGACCTGCACTCGCAAGCGATTAGATCTCCTCAGCATAGATGAGAGGCATGCATCCGGCTCAAACATCTCGCCCCCTTCCGAGACGCGCGACCGGCAACTGAAATGCTCCCTCAGAGACGTGCGCGCGATGGAATTGATTCGCAAAGCTCCCATTCTTCCTGGTACCATGGATGCTGCTGTCGTCCACCTCACAATAGCAGTTCGTGCTGCCAAAATACAAGCTGGTGATGCATTGGAAATAGCGATTGCAGCTCTCAAGAATCTGAAGATCGCAACACTCATGAAAGCGGCAATGGAATGGATAAAGCAGTACCCCTGGGAAACTGCTGCACTCATTGTTCCTGTAGTTCTCATGGCATGTACGTCTGCCTTCTTGGGGCTCATTGGGTTTACAGCCGGTGGTGTCGCCGCAGGTACGGCACTTTTGAGAGTCAACTCTTTATCCGTGACGCTGAGACTAACATTCGCCTAGGGAGTATTGCAGCGAGTATTCAAGCTGGTATTGGAAGCGTCGCGGCTGGATCTGTGTTCGCGACTCTGACTAGCGCGGCGATGGCGGGATATGGTGCGCCTATCGTTCTGGGTGGTGTCTGGGGTATTAGTAGCGTTTTGTGCTGGGGTTTTGCGGCTTGGAAGAGGTGGATGGAAGGCTCGAGCCACGCAGATCATACTGAGCAAGGGAACAATCGTGCTGAAGATAAGAGCACGGAGACTATTCCTCTCAGATTACGTCTTGAACACTCGCAAGACTCAGGACAACATTTTGGTGCCGAACGGGTATCTCATTAGCGTGATGGGGAGGTACTTTTCTCTCATCGTTCTTCATCCACATGTTCAGCCTTGTCATCTCAGCCGTGTTATCCTCCTTGCTCTTCCGCGCTAGAGATTGCAGTGCAGTGCCGTAAGCTAACCCCCTCTAGAGAATGGCTACCTGCCCATCTCATACCTTAATTAGTCGCACAGATATATATTCTACCTACTCAGCCTTTCTCTCGACGTGCACCCGTAAACTGAACGATGTCATGATATTGTCGCGATGTGACCACCTTGACAGTGATAGCTCGCCCTTCCCCTAACAAAGAACAGGGGCAAAAACAATACACTGGCGGGAGATAAGTGCTTGGTGTGGTGAGACGATGGGATGAAAGTCGAAGCTGTGAACAACAGTGGACATACTCACTCCCCCAGACCCTGCACCAATCCAGCAAGTCTCGCTTAAGCCATCGATTGCAGTGACATTCAAACATTACGATGCATCACATAAATCCCACGTGTTCTGGCGACTTTTGTACCAAGTCTCGGAGAAAACGTGACAGCAGTCCCGATTAGGCAAGTTTTGGCTTGGCGTGGATTTCAGCAAATAGCACCAATGACTTGGTGAACTTGCGTGAAGCTGCGACCCAGCGCCTGCTCTCCGCCACAGCCACCACCCGAACAGACATAGTCCAGCGAAGTATCTTGAATGAAAAGGATCACATAAACCGTACGCGACACCACAGCATGAAATAGTGATGATAACATGACTTTTATATTCTATGCATTGAATTCCCGGTATATCATCCCAAGAAACAGATCCAAACGCCGATCATGCATTCATAACCTCCCATTCCTTTTTCCATATTCCCACCCTTACGCATCGATATCTAATCCACATACTCAGACCGCACCTTCTTCGCCCTCCTCTTGTTGGCCTTGAAGTGCTTCTTGCTATTCATCTTCATCTCAGTGGGGTCGACATCTGCCTCGAGCGCAGCAACCATCTTGGCTTTCCTACCACTCAGCTCCTTGCCCTGCTCACTGTACTTGTAGTGGAAAGGCTGGTTCACTCTGCCCATACCTTGTCCGGGGCCGAAGAAACGCTTGTCCATGCGTTGTGTCTTCTCTCCCTGGACGGGTACGCCGACATCGAGCTCGTCGTCCATCAGCGACATGTCATCGTCTAGCGCACCGGCGAGGGAGGTGTTGCCGGGAAGAGATGCGAGAGGGTGATGTCGGCGCTTGGCGGGAAGATGGTCGACGTCGTAGAGTTCGCGGTTGAAGTGCTTGGGGTCTAGCGGTGGGTCGGTGGGTGGAGGGTGGCAGAAGAGAATCTTGCCCTTGACGTAGTCTTTGAGGATGTATCGCGCCGCTCGAGACTCGTCTGGCTGACCAAGACCCTGGGTGGAGAAGCCTCTGGCGATAGCGTAGGCACGTAGAATTTCTTCGGATGTCAGAATACCAGTTCCGCCTTCCTCCATAGGTCGGGGGTGGATCTTCATTCCGTAGAGCGCTTCAAGGAAGGGTTGCGGAATGCGACGTGCGACAAGACCCGCGGGACCAGTGTACTCGCGAAGTTGATCGATTGGAAGTACACCAGCACACACGAGCTCAGCTTTGGTTGTGGCGAAGTTGGGGAACACTAGACCAGGACAATCGCAGAGCATGACCTTGTCGCTGAGATGGATGGTCTGGAAATGCTTGGTCTTTCCGGGTGTTGCAGAAACCGACACCTTCTTTGCGCCAATCAACGCGTTGATCGTGGACGACTTTCCGACGTTGGGGTAACCGACCAGACCGATTGAAGTCTTTCGCGGCTCGCCGTTTGGTCCGGTATCAACATCAGGCGCATGTTGGAGGAACAGGGCTTCAAGGTCCTCTGTTGTCAATATTCGCGTGCGCTCGTCGCCGTCCGACTCTGCTTGGCTCGCGCCCGGTACGTCGACTGTCTCTTCGTCCACCCACTTTTCCTTCTCTTCCTGCTTGTCTTGCAGGTCAATCTTCTTGGCTTCTTTTGCGAGCTTGTCGTCTTCTTCCTCAAAGTCTTCGCCTTCGTCAGTCACAAGCTCGTCAGAGTCGCCGGCATCGTCCGACTCGTCGTCGCTTGCCTCCAACTCAGCACGAGCCTCGTTCATCTCTTTGGCGAGTTCAGCCGAGAAGAACTTGTAGTTGATGCCAGCTTCGGTGAAGTAGTCGGCCCATGCTTTCCGTTGCTCCAGCGTCATCATATCCGCCTTGTTGACCAGCAGCAAGTTGTTCTTCTTCGGGTCCACCTCTTTGACGTAGTCCTCCAAATCCTCTGATCGGAACATGAGCGGGTTACGGGCGTCCACAATCTGCACGACCAGATCTGACCGTTCAATAACACGCCACAATTGCCTCCAGACTTCGAGATTGCGCTCGAACGGTGTGAGGAGAAGATCGTTGTTCTCTTGCAGCTCCGCCAAGCCTCTTCGCCACTGTAGCAACGACGCCCTCTCCTTCTCGTCCAACTCTTGTGGTGTAGTGTCTTTGTCCCAGTGAGGTCGCCTCGGTACAGTCAGTCGGTTCCTGTTCTCCTTGTGCTTCTTAGTGACGTTGCGCTCCTCAAGCGGCGAGAGGAGGTACGGGTTCTTCTGGTCCTTGTGGATAATCTTGACGTTGTTCATCTTCTCGGCGGTGAAGTCGGTACCGGCCAACTCTGCCGTGGAAAGAAAGTCGTCGAGGGCGCCTTGTTCGGTGACGGAGCGCATCTTCATGTACGACGCCTCTTTCTTCTCGTTGGTGATGTACTGGGGGATGTTAGTAAGGGTTTGGTCGCGTGCTCTACCGGGTGCCACTCATTGCGCGATGTTCCTACGCGTGCGCAGACATCCAGAGCAAAGTTGTAGTATGGATAACACACCTTCTCGCCATTCTGACCGGTTCGCTCGATACCGGCGTTGAAGTTGCCCTTGCGCAGATTGTCGCCCTTTCCCTTGCTGAACCTGTCGTTCATCAGGCTGTTACCCAGCCCGACGCTCTTCTTGGATTTCGCGAGCACCATATTTGCGGTTGGAAGTGGTGTATCGCGTGGTTTGTGGTGTTTTTGGCCCAAATAGAGGGGTGGGTGGAAAGAGAAAGTTGCGACGGAAGTTGCCCCACCACGTCATTCACCGAGTGCCTCGCTAAATTCTTTTTCTGAGAAGACCCTTTTGTAAGCGCGCCTTCCCCAGACTTCCACAACAGCACACTCGCCACTGCCGTAGCAAGCAACCTCAACTCTCACATAAGCCGCCAAGATGCCTCGCCGAAAGTTCATGTGAGTCGAGAATTGTGAAGGCGCGTCTGAAGTACCCCGCTAACCCCGCGACAGCGATAAGAAGAACGCGACCAACTTCCGTCTCGTCCACCGCGCCCAGAATGACCCCCGAATCCACGACGAAGATGCCCCGCAGATGGTCTTTGCCGAGAGGGCCGCGCCGAACCAACGCGATACCGACGAGCCCGCAGGAAGTTCGCGTGCGTCGCAATACTCAGCCGCGACGGGACGCAGCAAGATCAAGTCGAGACGCGAACTAGAAAGCGAATATGGCGCCCAAGTGCGGAAGAACGAGGGTGAAGCCGCCAACTATGGCATATACTACGACGACACCGAGTACGACTACATGCAGCACATGCGCGACCTGGGCTCTGGCAGCGGCGACTCGTACTTCATCGAGCCTAAAGCGGAGAAGAAGGGAAAGCAGAAGATGGATTTGGCGGATATGCTGCGCGACGCATCGCTGAACGACAGCAGAAGCCAGGCCGACCTCAGCGTGAGCAGCAACATCAGCAGCGCGAGCGAATTATTCGGAGAAGACATGGCACCCTCAGAGTTCGTGCGCAAGACAACCTACCAAGACCAGCAGAACATCCCCGACGCCCTCAAGGGCTTCCAACCAGACATGGACCCGCGCCTACGCGAAGTGCTCGAAGCGCTCGAAGACGAAGCCTACGTCGAGGACGACGAGGACATCTTCAACGAACTCGCCCAAGACGGCTTCGAAGTCGACCAACGAGAATGGGACAGCGCCGACCTCTTCGACGACGAGACCGACGACAGAGACCCCATGGACCGCTTCCTCTCTGAAGAAGACCCAGGTTGGGAAACCGACGACACGATTAAAGCCTCCTCCCCCAAGCTGCGCGCTCAGAAACCTTCCAACAACGACCCCACAGACCCATCCTCCCTTCCCGCTCCGGACGAAGCGCCCGCCCCCGCCGACGCAGCAGACATGGCGTACCTCGATGAATTCAAAAAGTTCAAACAAGACGTCAAAGCCGCTAAACCAACCCCTGGCAATCCCCGAAACGGCGCCGCTGCCGCAACAGACAACCAATCTTTCATAACAGGCGCATCAGCGCTAACAGCCGGCGGCCGCAGAAAGAAGCGCAAAGGCGCCAAAACATCCACATCCGGATACTCCATGTCCTCCTCCGCGCTCCACCGCACAGAAGGCCTCACACTGCTCGACCAGCGCTTCGATAAAATTGAAGAAGAATACGCTGACGACGATGGCTTCCCTGAGGACGACTACGGCTACGACGACTCTGCTTCCATGGTTAGCGGCATGTCAAAGATGAGCGGCATGAGCAAGATGAGTGGTATGAGTGGGTGGTCAAGTAGTGAGGCACCACCGCTACGGGGCGATTTCGACAGCATCATGGATGACTTTCTGGGGAGCCATCATACTGCTGGAAAGAGTGGGAGGAGGGTTAAGAAGGGGAAGCAGCAGAGTGGCATGGAGCAGTTGGATGAGGTCAGGAAGGGGCTGGGTGCGCCGAAGGTCAAGCCGCAGGATAGGTTTAGTGTGTTGAAGGTCTAGGGAGGAGGGATCTTCTTTTCTCTTGCGTTATGATATAGACGACTTCATGCATTTGCTGGCGTTTGGGAGGGTGGGTAAAAGGGATCTGCGTCATAGGCTGGGACATGTTATACCCGTATTGCAAGTATACAGTGGAATGAAGAGATGAACGGAGAATACATTGCCAAAGTCTTAGCCTAGGTTCTTCAAGATGTAGACAGACAGTGAATGCCGACCATCTATCTCTTGAAGGACCTAGACTAAGACTTTGACAATGTACCCTTCAGCGTTCTCATTTATTCGTTGATCTCATACACATCGTGACACCTCTTGTTCGTTCCTTTTCCATACCATACCACGTCCAGAAGCTGATGTGGAATTCTCTATCCTTCGCTTCACTACCATACAACACGCTGTCTCGCCCAAGCAGGCCCTAAGCCTTAGGCTCAACACTACTCTGCGCAACACCTTTCTGAAGCGCCTTTTTGCTAACAAGCCTAAACCCACCAACCAACATAAGCGCCGCGAGCGAGCCCAGAACAACAGCCAGTGTGACAAAAGCACCGATAACACCACCAACAGCAGGCGAGATATCGCTGCTGCCATTTCCACTCTGCTGCGCAGTAGTAGCGCCGTTGTCCTTGACAAACGCAGCGCAAGAACCAGCAGTGTTACCACACTTAGTGCACCACTGCTCCGTAGTCGTAATAGCAAACTCATTCAGCTTATCCTGGAACGTGGTCCACGAGATAGCGTTCTCGCTTCCGCCGAAAAGAGGGAAGACAGTGGGTTCACTGGTGTTGCTAGCCGTGCCGTTGTGGAACAGGAAGCGGACTTGCAGGTCGTCTCCGTTGGGGAAACCGGAGTCGACATTCGCGTTGGTGAAGAGCTCAAAGACCATGGAGCTAGCGTAGTCGACAACGCCGGTGAAGTCGTCGCTGACCTTTTGCAGGTCGGCGAGACCGAAGAAGGACATGAAGGTAGCGTAGGCGCCGAACTGGATGCCGAACTTCTTGGAACCAGAGGTGCTGATAATGTTGTTCATGTATTCCAGGATTTCTCCCGCGAGTTGCATGCCGGCAACTGCGCGCATGTTGTCGCTGGCGTTGTAGGCGAGACCCCACTCGTGGGCGTCGGCGAGAGTGCGAAGTTCGGTGAGGGTGGTGTTGGTCAGGGCGTCGGAGTTGGGGATGCTGGAGTTGTGGATCTCGGCTACGTGGATGGTGTCGTAGACTATTGACATGCGTTAGTTGTGAACATGAAGGCGGATTAGGATATGCATACCGACGTAGGCGTTCTTGAAAGACACCTGCTCATCGCTGACCACGCCGTTCATTGAGGGAACAATGGAAGAGTAGAAGTCCTTGGAGCTGGACGCAAGGCTCTTGTACGCCTCACTGTCGAAGTAGGAGTTTGAGCTGGTCTTTGCGTTCTGGCAGCTCGACGCATCCTGCAGCCAGCCATTGTCCTCGGAGCCAGAGCCAGTCTCAATGGTGTTGACTGGGATGAGCTGGTAGCCATCCATTGGCGCTTGTACGCTCTGGCCATTGGCAAGAGTCTGAACCGTCTGGACAGGAGGGTAAAGTCCCTGGAGGAAACCCATGGCCGAGTTCTGGAGGACATTGTCGACCGGTGCTTGAACCTGAAGCTGGGACAGCTTGACTTCATCCTCGTTGATACCGTGGATCTTGGAGTCGCCAGACAGGTAACGTGAGCGGTAGTACTGGCCGGATGTGTAGACCTGTTCGTAACCAAGAGCAGTCAAGTTGGTAGGAGCAAGAGCTTTTGGTGTACGGTCGCCATGGCGGTGGAAGATGTAAGCTCCAAGGACGGTCTCAGCTGCCTCGGCACCGGCGAGCATAGAGAGAGCGGAAAGCGCGACGACAGACTTCATGATGGTCAATTGAACGCTTGTCAACGAAGGAAGCTGTTCAAGGAAGTGAGTGAAGCAATTGAACCCAGGGCAAAGCGGCGAATCTCACGAGCAGAGGTGGGATGGGGAAAGAGTAAAGGCGGACGTCAGGAGGGACTTATACCAGCTATCTCGCTGCATGCCCCGCTGAGTAAGTAAACCAAGCTCGGGATTAAGCTACAGCAGCTAGATAGCATGAGCCATCCGCCCAATCCGACGAGTAAACAGCTCATGGTGTAGCGGGGCGCTTGCCTGACAAGCATGGTTCTTTCCGAATCTCGCAGTTCGGGAGGGGCAGGTGTAAGTGGGGGTTAGAGCGACCCACTGCCCGCGACAAGCTTTTTCCGCGCACAAGGTATCTTTGGCCGAGAATGACAGTCGCGCTGAATAAGTAGTAGTCAGAATGACGGTATCAATCATCTGTCGCGGCCGTAGAGTATCTCGCAGACGCCGCCAATTGGCACATCCATCACGGCATCTGTTCCCGTGCTCCAGAAGCCTTTCCAGTCCACTTCATCTTGTGCGCTAAACTGATATGCCGAGAAAGAGCTTCGTCGGCTGGGAGGAGCACTGGCTCTAGTGCCTTTTTCCTTGTCCTTGTCGTGTAGCTTGTCTGTGACTAGCACCGGGTCGCGTACTATCTGCCCAGTCATGCGATCGACAACGGCTATCTGTGCGCATTCATCGACGAGGTTCTCGCAGCTGCTTAGCGGTAGTGTGAGGTAGCGCGTGTTGTAGCTTGCAAGGGCAACGTAGATGTAGATGACTAGCACCACCAGCCAGCATGGCACCGCGAGCGCCCACCACCGGTTCGGGTAGTAGTGGATGCCCATCTGGTGCAGCATCGGAGCTGGTACATATGCCCAGAGGATGTACATCAGGAATGCGGCGGAGCTGCCCAGGTACAGTGCAAAGCCATAGTATTCGTATGTAGGCACTTTCGGCGAGGCCCGGGGTACCGTCGGCGCATGCCGTGCCGAGCTCGCGAGGTTCGTGGGTGTGCTTGTGCCTGTGGTATGCGAGCCAGCTCTAGTATATCCTTCAACATCCGACGAGTCTGGGGTTGTGGGTCTCGAGGTTGGGCGGCTGAAGGCGGGGCGAAGTAGCGAGGTCAATGATGGAGACGGCGGTAGCGGGGTCGGAGGCCTGTTGTAGAAGGGCGGGAACAGCGCTGTCGCAGTATGTCGCGGGAGGTGACTATACGATTTAGAGGTCTGTAATGGTCGAGACGTAGGCGCTGGCTCCTCCTCGTCCTCTTCATCTTCGCTGACTACGTCCTCCACCATGAAAGGATCCTCGTCTTCATCTTGGTTATCCTCTACAGAGGCCGCCTCGGAGAGAGCGCTATTCGATATTGGCGATAGAGGAGTTGCTCCTGGACGAGTCGCCGAGCGTGGAGGGGATGCTATGGCACTGTCATCGCGACTTTGACCATCAAATGACGTCAAGGTAGGCAAATTGGGCGTAGACTTCGAATAGAAACCCGAAGGAAGGGACTCCCCTCTACTGTGGGGTGGCATGTCGTTGAAGTGTGGTTTGGCGCGAAGTGAACCTCATACATTGATCGCGTGCTTGAGCCTCTCAATTACGCGTTCGCGCTAGCGGAACCATCCCGCACCTGCCCTGCCCTGGAGGCTGGCAGCTATCAGCTCCATGTAACAAAATCATCTCATCTCCAGTCTAACATCAACTTCACAGATGGCTCCAAAAACCCCCAACGACGGCTTCTCCAAGGACTCTCTAGCTAATAAAACTAAGGAGACGCGACACTTGCTTCTCTCAACATGCTCCGGTCGACTGATAAGACCCACGATCCGCAAATTGCACCTCCCTCTGGACGAGAATCAACGCCATAAGCGCAGACTCCCTGCGAACCGGCCCACAATGGAAAGACTGCAAGGGAGGCATTACAGATGGTGCTTCAACGTCTGTTCGGGCTGTCTTTGTCAGCATCGCTACTATCGCGGCTTCCTCGTCCAGTCACCTACATCGCTGCAAAGCGCGTCGTCTTTTCTGACGAAGCAGACACGTAACAATGAGGATGAACATCGGTATACATGCTGCGAGAAGAGCGAGAACGGAGATTGTGTTGTCTTTTGACCAGGTCATCATTAGATGTGCGCGTTGGTGAGTGCATCAACGTCTTCGCTGGTCTATCATATATGCTGGGAAAGCAGATTCCTGCCATAGTCCTCTTGTTCAGATTTGACGAAAGCAGCTGGTGTTTAGGATTTCAGCTTCGCGTTGTGATACAGATCAGGCTAGGTGTGGTGCAATCCTATGTGGCAGAGGCTAAGCGTGCCGGAAACCTCAATGCAAGAGGCTACACGCGTTAGAATCTCGAATTGATGAGGCTTGGCATGCCGGACTCTGATTTGAAAGAGACTGCATGTGCCGGAATCTGAACTGAGCAGGCGCAGTCGTTGCAATTTCGTCGAATCAACCACCAGTGTGAGCTTCAAACCAGATTCTGCTTTACACTTTGCATACATCGGTAAGTAATGCAGACGCCATTGGTCCGGCATGCATTCACGAGGTGGCTGAGTTCAGATTTCGCCAACAGGGTTGGCAGGCGCCATTCACGTGATGTCGTCACTCACTGAACGGGCAAGTGCCCCGCTATCAGCCTGGTCCTCGAAACATTACTCTTCTCATCCTCATATTCACACTCATTATGATACTTCCTCGGACTTCGATGCTCCACATTCTCTGAAATCTCACTTCACTGAACGTAACCATGCCGGAGAACAGATACTCACCACGCATCGCGGAGCATACATGGGACCTCCACAAAGCAATCATTTTACACTTGTATTGCTCGGAGAACAAGCCTTTAACGGCTCCAGGTGGAGTCCAGGATATATTGAACGCTCAGTACGGTTTCATGGCAACGTAAGTGCATAATAAGGTATTTCCTAGGTGGCAGTGGCACATGTTGACTCATCGATAGCAAAGCACAATACGAAACGAAGCTGAGAAAATGGAGAGTCCATAAATATGGAGCAGCACATGATCGTCGTCGTCACGCTTCGATGCTCAACGACCAGGAAATGGATGGTCTCAATATGGAGCGGCAATTCATAGCGCCTAACAACAGCCCTCGCAGCCTTGCGATAAGGACCTCTTCTTCACAACACCATAACCTGCCGCCCGCTCGAATCAGCCCCCGAGCGCCCAGCATCGTCCCATCGACATCAAGCAGCCTATGGCACGACATCTCGTCGGTCTCAATGACTAGCGTTACGTTGCCATCCCCAGTGTCTCGCCGCGGAGCTGGATCATTGTTTCCCCAGAATCATGGATCACCTCAGCATGCGACTTCAAGCGTATATGGGGTGTGCGACTCCGCCTGGAGCGTCCTAGACAACTTTCCATCACGTACGACGGACCTGTTGAGCGACCTTGCTATACCGGATTTCGCGACTTCAATGATACCCGTTATCTTGCGCTTGTTCCCAAAGGCTTCATCAAATGGTCATATCATTCTTCTCGGTGACAGTACTGCGGTTGAATCTGCAATAGTGGGGATGTCTCGTCCGGGCGCGCTGCCCCTTGTGCGCGGACTGAGCATCGATCATCAGCTCATTTATATGATCATGAACTATTTGATCAACCACGATGATGTTGTCCGTACTCTCGAAAAGCCGAAGACAAAGCTCGACCACATCTTCGAGGCAGGAATAACGTACTGCTTCTCGCTTGGACCAGAATTTATGAGCAGTGTTATCAAATCCACTCCATCGCCATTCGGTCTGGCATTGACACAGAGCGTGCTCCGAGCAGCGCTATTCTTAGGGGATGGACCGATTTTGAACGCCATCCTGAGCATGAATCCTGGGGGTCTTGCGAATCGATCTGTGTTACTTGGAGACCAACATTACTATCCATTGCAGTACACAAGCCATTATGGGCATATTGACGCAACGCGAGTTCTTCTTGATCATAATGCTGACCCTAATTGGGGAAGGAACATCTATTTCCTTAACGAGATCTGCGCCTTCCCACGCACCCAAGATCCCAACGCCGAAGCACGATTCCAGATCATACGGCTTTTAATACCTCGCGGTCTAGAAATAGAGCCCGCATCATTAGTGATGCATATGGAACAATGCAGCAAAGATGAACTGAAGTTATTAGTCGAATATTCCTTGGGCAAGAGCTTTGAGGTATTCTTCAATCACCAAGGGCTGCCAATAGCCCTACTACGAGAAGACTGGGACGACTCATTATCGAACACAATCAGTGTGATCATGGAGCGAGCTTCGTCCGCTCATACGGGTAACCAAGAGCTTTGGGAGTCGGTGTTGTCGGCATCATTGTCAGGTGCAGTCCTACGCAGCCATGTATCCGCGGTCGACATTCTGCTTGCGGAAGGTGCGAAACCCAACGTCAACTGCTTGATAAGCGCTGCCCAGTGTAACAACGTGAGGATGCTCGAAGCCTTTCTGGATCGCGGTTTGGACCCTAATGCTCGTTGGTCGATACCACCTTATAATCAGAGACACACATACTACCGAAAATATGACGACAATTGCGAACGCTATCAGGATTCTACTGCATTGGGCGAGTCAATCAAGAACCATTCCCGTGGAGCATTTCAAGTACTTCAAGCGCGCGACTTCATCTCTGAGCTCTCCCACCAGCCGGACGGGTTTGTCTCGGCCTTTGTAGCTGCGTGCGAGGTTGGTGATGTTGTTCTCATCGATCATCTTTTGTCACTGCAAAGCTTCCCACAGAAGCTAGCAGGCATGCAAAAAGCTCTAGAGGCTTCCGTTAGAGAAGGTCAATCGCATGCCGTCGAGAAGCTGTTGTCTGTGGGGATTACGCCGACGATGCGGTGCCTGGAACTAGCAGTCGAGAATAAGCAGCTAGACGCTGTCAGGATTCTCACGAATTCTATGGATGCATTTCGTATGCTAGAGTTGTATGGTCATTATTCCAGGAGCTTCGGTCGTTTCCAAGGGAGAGCTTATGAAAACTTTGCCATCTTTGGAGCCCTTCGGTGGGACAACATAACAGCCATAGGTTGTATACTCTCCATGGAGTATCCCGTCGACACAATCTTTGTGCTGGATCACCACAAGCTCTCAGACTGGAACATGACACCACTATTGTGCCCACCTGGCTACAATTCGTGCTGGCATCTGACACCCCTCAGCGCCGCAATCTTGAAAGGTAACAAAAATGTTGTGAACATCTTGATAGCCTATGGTCTACAAGCCGTGTCCTTCAACTCACAACGTACATCTTACCAAAATCTGTTTCTGACTGAGAGTTGGCAGAACATGACGATTTTGACTCCTCTTGCTGCTGGCGTAATCAGAAATGATGTTCGTCTGATACAAGAGTTGTTGACAATAGGGGCAAATCCTTTCGACAACAGTGCCTTTTATATATGTGCTGTACTCGGCATGACAGACATAGCCACATTGCTGCTCTCTGCTTTCAAGAGTCGATACCCAGAGAGCGAACCATCTTTCGGATGCGACGCCCTATACCAGATCATACGACGTAAGGATCTGCGGCTATTCAGGCTTCTTGCAGCCGAAATCAACATCACTGGGCCTGTTGAGAAAGACCGCGGACCAAGACCTTTCCCCGATCGACGAGCCCCATCTAATTGTATATTCACGAGTCCACTCGGTGAAGCAATACGTCTCCACGCTGAAAGCAACGGTGTTGATGGTGGTACACTTGACTACCTTTTAACCCTAGTCAAGAACTACAATACTGTCGTTTATCGAGACTTAGAGCGCGGCGATATGACAGTCTTACTCTACGCAATCTCGCTTGATTCGCTGAAGACAGTGAAGAAGCTATACAAAGCATGCACACAGGAATCTCGGCCGATCCCACGGAGCATCAATCGGACGCCATTGCAAGCAGCAGCACAGGCCGGAAGCAGAGACACAGTAGCATATCTCCTCAACCAAGGAGCCAAAGCGAACGAACCTCCATCCATCCGAGCAGGAGCAACAGCCCTCCAGCTAGCGGCAATCACGGGTAACATCGCCGTTGCAAAACTCTTGCTAGAGGCGAGCGCCGAAATCAACGCGCCACCAGCCTTTGGTGATGGCAGAACCGCGTTCGAAGGCGCCACGGAGCATGGACGTATCGCGATGATGATCTTTCTCGTTGATGAAGGCGCCGATCTCCTTGCAAATGGCAACGTACAATATCGACGTAGTGTTGTACTTGCAGAAGACAATCGCCCTTGTGTCTCACCTGCGGCCATTATTACCTATACAATTATATGCTCTACAATATATTTTATTTACTCTAGCTAGCTATCTTATAACTCTCTAATCCTCCTTAAAGTTAGTAAGCTTTATATAGTAGCCTGCTAGTATAGTATTAAATTATTCTTATTATAGCTTATTTATAAAGTTAGTATTTACTTTAAGAAATATCTATTTTACTAGTAATAGTATATAGCTAGGTGTCTAAAGTTATTAAAGAAGGCTATTTATAGTAGCCTTCTTAGTAGCTAGAAAAGTCTTCTTAGTAATTATTAATTCTAAAATAAATGTTAGCTATATCTTTAATACTAATACTATAATATACTATAGAGTTAGCTAAGAATAAAAAGATACTCTTTTATATTCTGCATTTATATATTAAGAAAAGAGGTAATAATAAAGAAGAAAAGACTCTTTACTAGTAAAGTAAACTTACTTATAGTAGTTTTTATAGAGTAAAAGCTTTTATAAAAGATGCCTTTAAGTACTATAAAGCTATAGTAGCTAATTTAAATACTTAAGTTTAAAGAAGTAGTAGTAATAATAAAGTCTACTATAGTATGTGCGTTATATAAGTAATAAAGACGTAGTAGTAGTAACTATTTTATATTACCCTTTTCTAACTTAGAGTATAATACATACTCTAGTTCTTCTATCTTGTCTTATAGTACTGTAGTAGCAACGTAAATAAGCAACTTATAACTTCTAAATTCTATATGCACCTATCTAATTAGGTCCTCTCGCGAAAAGAGAAGTATTGTTAACACAAGAGCAGAAGACAATCGCCAATATGCCGCGAAAGATCTCGCAGATAAGCTATTTGCAAGAGCTCTAGCGAGCCAACAAGCGGGCTTCATTGGTATGGGTGAGCCGTGGGCTGGGGCTGAGATGCCAGATTTTGGGACCTTATTCTCATGAACACAACGTTTCTCTTTAGACGGCTTTTCTTTCTTTCTTTGTATGGATTTTGTAATCGATCGTCCGACGTCAGACAAGTTAGTACATCCAAAGTCCTTCTCGCGGGCGTTCCGGAACACTTCTTTCAATTAGACCGACATTGTTTATGACATGATCTCGCCATGCTAAGTAGTAATCTCAATATATATCCTGCCGTTGATCGTCGCCATGCACCTATTCATTCGGACCTAAAGTCCAATAGCTATACCCCGACAAACCCCGGCAATCTTTTTGAGAAACAGTCTCGCTCACACTTCTGAACAGCATTTGACAATGATCATCACCACCGACATTTAGCAATGACTCCATAGAATTACCCTGGCCAAGCATCACTAAAAAAACCCATGCAATCACCGTAAGGACTAACCCTGAGCAGTCATCACCAGCGCCTCTGACTAGTTATCCCGTCTAACAACTACCACTAACCAACCGATAAAACGCGGGCTTTTTGCGCCATGTCTGCAACAACATGGCGTTCCCTCGATCAATCTGCATGAGACTTCTCAATTGAGAAGCTCGACTCGAGATAACGGGCACCAAAATAATCACTCAACATTCAGCACGTGCATCACAGGCAATATGCACAACACCCAGCAGTTTCGCGTGCAAACTCATCATTGCTACGACACTGTCTGATTACCCAAGAAAGCCATCTACAGCTTACTAGCCTCCCCACTCGTCCTGTTAAGGTACAAAGGATCCCTCGGCTCAATGCCATACTGCCTACACAGCTCCTCACCCTTCTTCTGCTGCGCCTCAATCCTCGCCTTATGCGCAAGACCCCTCTTATTCTCATTCTTACCCAGCTGCAACAGATGCACCTCATCCGGCCCATCTACAATCCTCATCGTACGGCCACTCGACCACATCTGCGCAAGCGGAGTATCTTGGCTCACACCCGCACCACCGTAGGCTTGCATAGCCCAATCGATGACCTTGAGGTTGACCTCGGGGACGAGCACCTTGACTTCGGCGATTTCCTTGAGCGCGCCCTTGGCGTTTGTTTCGTCGATCTTGATGGCGGCGTTGAGGACGGAGAGGCGGGCGGCATCGATTTCGATACGGGAGCGTGCGACGCGCTCGAGCATGATGCCGTGTTTGTTGAGGAGCTCGCCGAATGGCTTCTTGCGCTCGTCGTTGATGCGGGCGAGGAACCACTCTAGTGCCTTCTCGGCAGAGCCGATGCTGCGCATAGCGTGGTGAATACGTCCGGGTCCGAGACGGCCTTGGATGATCTCGAAGCCGCGGCCTTCGCCGAGCACCATGTTGCTGGCGGGGACGCGGACGTTCTCAAAGGTCACGTGGCCGTGGCCGTGGGGTGCGTCGTCGAAACCCATGACTGAGAGCATGCGGTGGACTGTTACACCGGGGGTGGTGTTGGGGACGAGGATGACGGATTGTTGCTTGTACTTGTCGGAGTTGTTGGGGTCGGTCTTTCCGAGGACGATGAAGATCTTGCAGCGAGGGTCGCCAATGCCGGATGACCACCATTTCTGAGCGTTGTTAGTAACGTGGTGGGTGAGGGAGGGAGGAAAATGAGCTAACCTGGCCGTTCAGGACGTAATGGTCGCCATCCTTCTTGATAGTCATCTCAATGTTGGTAGCATCACTCGACGCAACCTGAGGTTCCGTCATCAAGAACGCAGAGCGAATCTCGCCCCTCAGCAGCGGGTCCAGCCACTGCCTCTTCTGTGCCTCGGTACCGTACTTGGCAATGACCTCCATGTTGCCAGTGTCGGGAGCAGCGCAGTTGACAGCCTCGGAAGCTGTCCGGCTCTTGCCCAGGTACTCAGCCATGAGGCCGTACTCCAGGTTGCTGAAACCAGCACCCTCCTTGAAGTGTGCCTTGGGCAGGAACATGTTCCATAGTCCAAGCTCTTGTGCCCTCTTCTTCAGGTCTTCGATGATGGATGGATGTGACGAGAAGCGCTCTTGGACAGTCTGGCCGATCTGGCGAACGTATACGGCGTCGGCGGGGATGCACTCTTCTTCAACGAACTTCTCTACCTATGAACATGTCAGCATGTAATCATCCAGAGCTTGCCAAGTCACCTACAAGGTCGAGTGTCTTCGCCGCCCTCTCGCTGACAAAAGGCCGCGCGATGACGGGAATGCGCTGAGAGGCAGAGATATGGCCATCCTTGCTGTTGCTAAGCAGATCGTAGGCGCGGTCGTACGGTACAGACATGATTGCGTACTGTGGAGAGAGGATGAGGTGGAAAGGACGGTTCAGGGAGGAAATCCGGGGTAGTTTAACAAAAGATGCGGAGAGACGACTCGTCCGTGGCTACTGCTTCGGTCATTGATGTTGGGAGAGCTAAGAGTTGCCGAGGTACGGCATGCACCACCTCCGCTTTGGACCTCGTAACTTGGCTGTCTCACACCACGCAGACGTGATGCCAAGGTGTCCGATGGCAAACGTATCTTAGAGAAGGGTATCGTTGGCCGAGGCATTGATGATAGTCATGTCGTTGTGGACGCTGCGGTTGTAGTTGGCGATAGCTGCAATGGACGCGACGCCACCGTTACGCGTGGCGCACAGTCCAACCTCCGCAAGAGGTTATGGAATCGCCAACGTGGTTATTGGAATTCGTACGGGCCATATCAGCACTCATAAAATGGTCGTTAGAGAATTCATTGAATCTATCTAGAGAGGTCATTGACTCCATAATCTTAACAGAAGTATGCATTGACTAGTTGACTCATCGTGCTTCAGCCTACTAGTCGAACACCTAGACACCGCCCAGCAGCCACATCTCCAATCCATGAATACCAGCAATGCCATCGCAGCCAGCCCTCCCCCGCGAGCTCATCGACCAAATCATCACCACCCTCATCACCCTCCATTCCCACGACCCAGCCTACCAATGGACAAACCTGCGCCACATAACCCGGCACCACAAAGCGCACCTCGAGCAACGTTTCCTCGCCCACTGGGTCCCCAAGCTATCATTCGAAATCCCACATGACTATGGCTCATGCCCACTCGTGAAATTCACCGCCCCCACACCACCGCGCACCCTCCAGAAAGATGACTCAAGCAACAACGGCGCAGATATCGTGGTATTCACTGAACGTACCGGTCTCCGTCTCACCGAAATGCCCAACCGCTGGTACGAACACGCCACAGGAAACATCAAAAGACATCCCTGGGAGCAATTCGATTCCAACATCATCGTGCACTTCGGTAACGGCACGTTGAACAAAGGCTACTCAAAAGGCGGTATAAGGAGTGATGTCGTCATCCCCAATCTATGCATCAACACAGATGCTTCGCCGTGGGAATTTTCTTTCGCGTGGAAAGAGCTTTTCACCAGGCTTTTTACCGAGGAAATGGTGATGCGGACATTCCGGGACAAGCTCCTGGGATGGTTTGTACCTACTTTGGGAGGGGATGTAGAGCCGAGGGTGGAGATGGCAGCTATATACCATTATCTGCGTAAACATTTTCATTGGCAGCGGAGGGCTGTGTTGGCGGCTTATCGGAAGTATAAATATCCACTCCGGTGGGATGAAGAATACTGTCGACGTCGTTATCGCGAACAACATACTGAGGGTCGCTGCTACAAAGCGTATTCCTCCAAACGTCCTTTTGACCTCTCACGTTTCGTTCATCAAGGCAGAGAGGAGCTTGGTTTAACTCTTTCCAGCGAACACCATATCCTCGAGGACGAGGAGAGCATGGTGTTTCAAGTCCCTGGTTGGGAGACGTGGAACGTAGGGGATGTAGGACGCATGCGTGTTTATGAAGAGATGGTCGAGGAACGGCAGTTGACGGATATGTGGTTTGGACACCATGATGTTCAGTTGGAGGACTATTGGGAGTCTTATTATAAGAGCTTACTGCAGGTTATGGAGGGAAGGAGAACTATCAGTGATGAGGTGCTCGAGGGGCGTTTGAGAGCCGAGAAGCTGGATCCAGAGGAGTTCTGGATTTCAAGACCAGCCAATGAACGGTTTCCATACCAGTAGTGAAGTGGTTCCGGGAGTCCTTTGTGGTTCTTCCCACGCTGTCTTATCTATGTTACGATGTACTTTGGTTGAGGTTTGAGTGAATGCTGACATTCCATCGGAAATTCTCAGAAGATCACGACTTGAAGTGTAACCTGACCCAATGAATTTTGATAGTCAGCAGTCACTAGTCGTTGGGTCGGAGAGAAACGTGAGCGACTCTATTCTGATTCCACGTCGCAGTTTTGAGATGTAGCTGAAGTCGGATATACGTTGTATAACTCTCACAGCAACGTAGTAGTGAAATGTGAAGGGTGCTACCTCGTACAGCTTGTGATGAGGATAAACCTGTAACGGTGACATAAATCGCAAGGCTATAACGTTGCTCGGTCCTCGTTGCTGGGCTTCAATTCCGGAAGGGTTGCTTGTCGCAGACCGGATCAAACGGGTATGTTGTAGGAAACGAGTAAAACGTATCGTGTAACTGTTCTTAGTGCCAAGACATTAGACCGTGGGTCAATTGATGCAATAGCAGTGCCAGTAGCCTGGTAAAATATTGTTAAAATTTGGAAGATGAGGGTTACACTTTTGTCGGTGAGCGCGGATGTGTACCCGCGGAATGCTTCCTACAACGACCAAAAGGTGTCTGAGAAGGTCGTCCCGCCTGCTTGTGGCGTACACGGACACCAGATAGAGCCAATAATAGTCTTGGGCGTACAAGTTAACTGACAGAATGGTATCATCCGCTCGGGCAGCTGCGTGTCGCTATTCTGGTGCAGAACCGGATGAATGCATGAGATGTGTGCGCTCAACCGTGACGATGTAACCACGATGTTGAGTGGGCTGCTACGGATCCGACATGACAGCTGCAGACGAGCGTGGCGAGGTCTCCGGCCGATGTCGGTAGCCGAATACAGCTCGTGGTACAACCATCGTGCATACTCTATTGTCTTCATCTAAAATAGATGCTCATCCTGTACCGCATGGTTGCGCGCTATCAGCGATGAAAATCTCCGAGTATTCAACCATATAGGTGGACCGGCATAGTCCGATCGTCGGGTATGACAAGTCGGCCGGGTACTCCGTAAGGCTGAAGTCCATATGCGTGCTTCACCTGAAGTGGATTGGGGGTACACATCGTGGTCGCGCAGATCGACTCGTATCTGAGTTCGACAGGCTGATAAAGTCCAGATGTCTAGGTCTGCGTATTCTTGTTCGTCGCTTTACATATAGACTCCCGCCACCAGATCTGAGACAGAGCGGGAGGCTTCGTCACACAGTGTCGCTGTGGACCGATGTGGTGCTTCATGGCTTGATCTACGACGCCTCGGGGCCTGTAATCTATTTTCATGTTAGGAGTGGTTCGGGCCGTAGTGAGCTTGAGCAAACGTCAAGTGACGGATTCAAAGAGAGCGTGCTCGCGCCCAGCTCGGGCTGGAAGGAACCTTGGACTGCTGGTGAATAGAACGGGAGAGGATGGGTAGTAATGACGGCAATAGTGGGGCTCATAACACTGGATTTGGCTATTCTCAAGGTCGAGCGGTCGTCTGCAGCGGCTGGGAATACCGCCGTCAAGAGCCCTTAAGTCACATGACTAAAGCCAATAGGGTGGGTCGGATTTCCGAACGGCATGCTCACTGCATGTTGACGTATGAGCGGCAGTCGGGCATCGATAGTGTAGCTCGACTAGCCTACCCACACAGCAAGCGCCAAATGCAAAATCTGTAGGAATTGTTTCAGCCCGATCTATCTCAGTAGCCTGCAGATGGACTTGTACGTGATGTCCATCGTCGTTCGAGGCATGGCTGTTGGCGGCGCCTGGAACATGTTGCGCGCGCGATTTGCACGTGCCTTGCAGCACCAAGTGCGGGAAAGGCGAAGAGGGGAACACAAGCGTCATGAATAGTTTGCAACGATGTCGGTTGCTGCAAGTGCGGCCGATTCGGGTTTAAAGGTGCGCGTGTGTAACCCGCACCGAGCAGTGGTTCACACCGGCCAGTGGGCCCTGGACATCCGAGAGCAGCGGTGTCGTTGACTTGATGCGCATCCGCTTGGTGCAGCTGGCTGCCGGTCAAGATGGAAGCGTGCACAAACGGTGGAGTGGCATTTCACGAGACCAGAAGGGAATAGTGAGTCGCTGGGCTGGGCGGCTGTGAAAGGATATGCACCACAATAACACGCCACGCCTCTGGGTCGCCCGGGCATTCGGCTGTAGACGAAGAGGGGGGCGCCAGGACCAGGGCGCGAGAGAACATCAGCTGCCCTCCAAGTGGAGCTGCAGGCCACGAGGGCGTGGCCGGGGCCTCGAGCAGAATGACGATGCAGCAGGACGAGGCGACAGGGCGGCGTGCAGGGGGATTTGGTTTTGCAGCAGGCCGCAAGGGTGCGGTCAAAGTTTGGAAAAAGCCATATTGTTGAGTCGGATATCAGCTTCTTCAACGCCAGTCGGAAGACTTTTCTGCGGCTACCGACCCCTGTACTCTCGCGAGTGTCCTGGTACGTCGTCGACACGAAAGTGCGGCGGCGGCGGCTTTGATTGACGGGCTGTGGTGCAAACAAAGACAAGGTTGTGGTTGCTCGAACAGCGCGGTGCATGAAATTGCTGCCGCGGGCGCTCAGGCGTCCGCAGCATGGAATTGGCTGACGGAGTCGAGCATTCGCACAGTGTTGAGGGACGCTCGCTAAAGGCAGAGGCGTCGTGGGCCCTGGAGCGGAATGAGGGTCTTGCTCAGGCCATGGTAACGGCGGCGATGGCCTGGTAACGTCTCAATGGGAACGGTCGTCGCATGTCAAACGCAGCATAGCAGCTACTCACTGCCTGCTAGAGCCGCGCAGCCTATCGCCGGGCAGGTATTCACAGCTCGTACGGCCAGGTTAGTATAAGCACAGCAAGGCCCGGCCATGATTGGAGTGCGTCTCAGCCACGCGCCAGCGAGCAAGTGGGTGCAGCTCATTTCAGGCGGCATGACGGCGTGCTGGGAAGAAATCTGATGCCTCACGTGCAGGCCGGCGTCCGCAGCTGCAGACGCAATGGTCATGTTGAATGTTGGCGATGTCGTATGTGAGGCCGCTGGCGACGGCTGGCAGAGCACACTCACTGTCGTGTGCTGACGTCTGTTTCAAGCAGGCGCGGTCGCATGCTCCTGCCGCCGCAGAGCAGCCCTGTGTATGTGTATTACTATAAGGCTCCACGAGAAGCTATCATCTGCATCCTATCCCATCCCCCCGTTTCCTGCAGGTCCGTGATTCCTGCACCGGGCGATTACTGTACGCTGCTCCCTCGAGCAGCTTAGACGCCGCTGGGCTGGTCTGCGCTGACAAGTAGGTGAATTGCAGGCCTTCTGATCACGTTGGCACCCAATTTCGCACTAGCAGTGCCCCGCCCTTAATCCCCAGCACTGCCGTCACTCAACCCCATCGTCGCCTTTCCTCGCACCTTCACAAGCTCTCCATCTCCGCCTTCAATTCTCCTTCACCCCCTTCCCACCACCTGCTGTGACTGCCGCCCGAGCATCGTTGCTGAGGGGTCGACCTGCGCCTTCCTTGTTCCTTAGCTCCGTCAGCCACAACAAGCGTCACCTGGTACTGCACAGACGGCACGCGGGACCACGCCCTCTTGACACTCGACCTCGCGCCTACAACCCTATCTGCTCCGCCTCAGCCCGCCCGACACCACTCCTCGCCCACACTCAACTCCCCTGCCGCACGCCCTCCAGTTCCCCAGCAATCCGCGCAGCGCTGCCGGACCCCCTCCCACACGCATAACACCAAACAATGAGCCAGAACCGGCCATCGGCCTTCTCATCGCTAAGAATGGGTGGTAAGTGCCCCCCGTGAACCCGCCGCGTAATTGGCCTCATGCTCACCCTCCCGCAGAAGTTATCCGCGAAAAGGTCCAGGACGGCCTGACCGGCGACTACAAGGACCTCGCATACACGCAGTGCAAGATTGTCGGCAACGGCTCTTTCGGCGTCGTCTTCCAGACCAAGCTGTCGCCTAGTGGTGAAGATGCGGCCATCAAGCGTGTCCTGCAAGACAAGCGCTTCAAGGTGCGTCTGCGCGACATCATGACATGCAGCCCCAGCTGACCCCCGCAGAACCGCGAACTCCAGATTATGCGCATTGTCCGACATCCCAACATTGTCGAGCTCAAGGCCTTCTTCTACAACAACGGCGAGCGGGTACGTGTCTGCAAGCAAGCGCGTGCGTGCATTTCGTGTAGCTAACCGTTTCAGCCACA